ATATATATATATATATATATATATATATATATATATGTGTGTGAGTGGATCACATCCTGTAGCTATAGAATGACGTATTGCGAGCCACCAGAATCACAATGAGAAGGTAAGCAACACCAAAGTGGACAAGTTCGAAAGGCAACACCCCAAACTCTGAATGACAGGATCCTGTATGCCATACTCAACCTGAGGAAACAGAACTCATCCGCTCTAGAATTATGAACACTTATCCTCAGTCCCCAATTACGTGGGCAAGGTAAATTACACTTGTCCCTGAAATTATGGGGAGGAAGTAGAACAAACCATGCTCAACCAAGGTCCCAGGATAGGACCATTCTGTGTTCAGAATTATGAGGAGACATTGGACCCTTTTCCATGAACAATGTACTGAACCAATATTGATCAAAAAGAAAGGCCATGCTCAACCCAACCGGATAGCTGAACATCAAATCCTAACTGGTATTACGAGTAGGCTCCTGTGTAGGCTGGTGTCTCTCCTTCCAACATCTCGTAAAAAAAACATCCAGGGACCCAGGTAGGAGGGCCCCAAATTTTGCCCTTTTCTCCAAGAGTGGAGAAAATTCACTCGGACACTCTGGAGGAATAACCTCTGTCCACCACCCCAGTGACTGGAAACCGGGTGTGGTAAGGACTTCCTAGCTCCACTAGTAGAACACAAAGAACACTCAAAGTATCTCCAATAGTCGTAGTGCAGAGAAACCTGTTAGTGAATACTCCGCTGAGAAAAAGTAATAATATTATCTGAATGAGGTACTTATATACAGTACCAGGATAGAGGGTTCATTCACATAGGTGGAGAGTGTCACGAGACAGATATAGTCAAGACAATTAAGTGGGGAATAAAAGACTGGAGCAACGAGAAATAATGAGACCAATGTTTAGATGGGCAAAAAAACGAAACCCTGGCAATCGAGTAATAGCTGTAGTGTGAGAGAAGGTATAATTTCTTCAAAACACCAATAGCATCACTTCATCTAGCACAATCAACAACCAAGAAAGCTATGCTCTTGAGTTAATTTAACTTTGTTTGAAATACTGTAATATTTTTGTGGCCCTCACAGCATGTGTGAAATATATTAGTACATGTATATGTAAGTTGCCAAGTGCTTTCAAAAAGTAATATATAAAAGAGGCTCATATGATTATTAATGTGTAAGAACAGCATTTGAACTTGACTGATAAACCATGTGTATTGTTTAAGAAATGTGTAACAACAAAATATTCAGGCAAAATACAAAAAGGTCTGTGCAAAATCCACTTAAATGTTTCAGCTAAATTACAGTTTTTTTCTTCCATGTAATATCTGTAAACATGCATCTAAGCTATTTTTACTTCTCCAAACTGTCTAAATGGCTGTTATTAGAATGAGGACAAAAGTCATTTGCATGCACTTCTTTGTAAGGGTGAACTCCATCTTAAAATTTATATTTATGTGTGATTTGATATATTGGTAAGAAAATTTTACGCAAGTGTTTTTGATTCCTTCTATATTATTTCTGTTTCTATGTCTCAACAGTCTTTAATTTATTTAGGATTGAAAATTCATTTGAAACCTTATATTTCTATGTTGTATGTACATGTCATACATATCAATGCACTTAAAAACACAGACACACTTACATCAATAAAAATTAAACAACTATGCCTACCTTGGCTGGATTGTTCCATTTCTTTTCAAATGTTTCTTTTGCTTCTTCTAAAAACTGTTCAACTGAAATGTAAAAGAAAATTAATGCTACAGATGAAGAACTCAATAGTTATAATCAATTATGAAGAGGTGCAACAGTTTAACATACTACAAAAATTATTGGAGCTACATGTTAATACTGTAACAAAATGTACAATACATATACTTACAACAACTACTTAACTCTCTTTATTCAGGTGGGTCAAAGTGCACATATATGACCTTTTTAGAGAGTTACATTCAAAATTTAATTTAAAAACATTATTATTGAGGTATGTTAATACACTTGGCATAAAGTTTATCATTAAAATTTTAATACAAGTTTTAATCTCTAAATTTCAAAAGAAAATATTTAAATGAATTTCAATCTTCAGTTCTTTGTATCACATGACACTTATTCAATCTGAATTGCCAATTTTATGTTTTCTTTCTACACCTGTCCTGCTGTGATAAATGACTCAGTAAAGGCTTCATAAATTCAGAGACAAATCTTTAGAAAAAATACTTTATTGAAAAATCTTGTACAATAGACTTGTAATGTTTATTAAAAGCTTGCCAAATTTCATGATGATACAATTAGTAAATTCAGAGTTACAGTATGTATAGTTTATGGTTATAAGGTTGGTAAAAATGACCAAGCTCATATATAGAATTAAACAAAGCTTTAAGTTATAGATAAAAGAAAACAACATGTTACAGAAAAGTATAACAGTACAAAATAAACACGAATGAATTACACAGGCCTGTGAATTAAAACTTCATAAAAGTTGTTTTGATTTTAATAATAGAATTTCCATTATTCAGCTACACAGATTTAGAAAATAATATTAATTTTTTTCTATCATGTAAGAATTTTTTACAAATCAGGAAGAAAAAACTTAATTAGATCAAATTATTATTTCATTTACCACAATGAACATTTCTTATTATTATGTTTGTTAACAAAAATACAAACAAACTGAAGAAAAGGGAAGAACATTGATGTCAAACAAATATGCATCTTCATTCATCCTGATTTTTTTGGGTGAAATGATATCTTTTAATCTCAAAACTATGTGTTGTGATCATTCTTTTTTGTATTGCATTATGACGTTTTGTGAAAAATCCGTAAGTGATGGAGAAAAATGGATATAATTTTTGGATTCAGTGTACAGGAATTACTGTAGAACATGTAAAAATTTAAATACAATAAAATCATTGCAGACCTGTGTTATTAATTTGGAAATATGACATTTACTGATTCTGAGCAATGTTTTGATCTCTTAAAACAGTAAGAACCTATAAGTATACTTAAACTCAAACTGGAGTTTTCTTCATCATTTGAATGAAATACCAATTACTCCAAATTAGATTGCATTTTGATATCTTTGTTTACCTTCCATAAATGTAATAGATTTTCAAACCTTTTAACAAGCATTTATGTTCACCTGTATTAACCATTTTCTAAAGCAAAATCATAATTTTACACATAGGTATTTAATCTAGAGATATTAATTATTATACAAGTGTTTAGTACATTACATTAAAACAATTTTGAGGCCTCACCACATAGTTACAGTCCATGTTGCCATGTCTGTTCATACTTTATCTTACAGCCATTCCTCTTGACAACAGCCTTGCAGAGTAGTTTCTGTTGCAAAAGTGTCATAAGGCTGCCATGTCCAACATCATTCCTCCCTGCATGCTTTCCATAGCCCATCAAGCATAAAAGGATGATAGTTTACCAGTGCCTGTTACAACAGTCGAACCACACAAATTCACAGGTGCTGCATCTGGTGACCTGATTGGTATGTCTTCATATGGAATAGCATGAATACCCACTTCATTCTTCAGCTGCTTGAGGTATGTGACAGTTGAATGGGAGGTATGACAGGAAACTTTATCTTGGTGAACCCATACACTGTTGGCCTCTTTCGAGATGGGGGACCTTTCTGATTATGTTGCATACTGCAAGCTTTGACAAGTGGATAACTTTTGCCACAAACATTTTTATTCTTCATTCCTCATCTGTTACAAGATGCTGCCTTTGCTTACCACAATTGGGAAATGACTCATTGCAGGCCTTTTTTTTTATGGTCCTGGTGCCACAAGTTGATTGATATATCTTTGTTTCCAATGTTATTAAGTACAAGGAATATTCCTGTCTTGGAAAAAAATTATAGATATCCAACCTGAATACATCTTTATGATTTGACTGTTTTAATATTTGGATTGGAAAGGGCTTTTACATATACTTCCTAAAAACAATCATCTTCAGTGCCTATGAAATGACAAACAATTTCAAAATGTAGTTCTGATTCATTTTGTTCCACTGATATTTTATATCAGGTGTGGATGGCACACAGTATTGATTTGCATATTCAAAATAATTTTAATATAAAGTACTCAACCCTCTGTATTATGAAATTATATTTCTAGTATAGTTAAATCATTCATTTCACTACAGTGGACACAGAGCAATGTTCCATTGTGAAGTTTTGCCCAAGAAAAACAACAACATTAATTACAGGTTTTAATAGATATTTAATGTCATGGTATCCAAATGTACCTTAGGCTCTAATCCCCTGATTAATTTTACTACTTTCTATTTATAAACAGATGTCTTTTTTTACATATAATACAGGGGCATAGCTAGAGTAAAATAAAATGTGGGTCACCACTAGTTTTTAGTTCCAAAAGCATTTGTGACAAGTGCATAAAGATCAGGGATGGAGAAAAGATTTTAGTAGATAATAGGATTATGATTTTGCTTTGTATATTATTTGCTTAATATACATTTATTTAGCACTTAACAGTTGGCTAGTTTGTTTGATTTGGTTTTAGTTTAAAAAAATAAAGTAATTTTATGACATGTACAAGTTGTTGAATGAATTATTTCATGACATTTACTTTGTTGAATATAAAATGTAAATGTTATTATGAATTTCCAATGGCAAAATTTGATTACTTACACAAATTATTTTGAGTATATGGTGAACAACAATCTGTGCTAATACCACAAATATTTGTTAAAAGACAAATCCTCTGCAAGCTGAACTGTACTGATATTGTTCAAAAATGGTGCAACAACAGTATAATATGTGACTAAGTTTTAAGGCATTGGGAATCATAGACACAATTAGAGACATCATTTGCAATTATATTTAACAAGTCTTACATAGGATCCATTAATATATGTATAATAAGCAATAACACTTATTCAATCTGCAATGTATTAACTCCAACTCAAAGGCAAAAAATTGACAGTGTAAATTTATTACAGTATGTACTTTTTAGCTTGTATCTAGGCAAAGCTATAAGGCATATGTCAGTGCATGTTTGTTACAAGCATTATTATCTTTTTAATAGAAAGTGACAAATCCATACAGCATACTTTTATATAATGTATAAGTGATGCCTTTCCTTACTGGCATCATGACAGCCATCATATGCATGATTTGTTTTGCTTTTTTTGTACTTTGCCAAATATGTCAAATTATAGCTAGAAAGTTGTTTTTCTCTCTTTTAGCTAAGATAAATCTCATTTTCAACAATTTTTGCAATTATTTTACAAGTAATTAAATCAGTTCCTTGGAAGAAAAAAAAAGGAGTAACTGACATCATAATTATTTCAATTGAACAACATTTTCTATGAAATAAATCTTGCATTAGACACAAGTACATATAAGAAATCACCTGAAAACCTTTGGTTCATTATATAATTCCCAAGATGACAGATACTGAAAAGTAGATGTTTTATTAAATTATGGTTGTTTAGCAGAAAAAGTTCATTTTAAACTTTTTTAGTCTGTAATACTTAAAATATTGAACATTGATATTCTTACATACAATTATATACTCCACACATAGCTTAAATGCTTCGAAAATTAATTCTATGTATCTTTCCTTTACCAATAAAGTTAGGTCTTTTTCAAAGGAAAATATATGTTTCAAATATAAACTACAATTATTTTTACATGCTGAAAGCATGATAGTAAATGTGACTTCATGATAAAATTACAGTTTCAAAACTTTTAAAAGAAAATGTAATAAGATGCTTTGAAGGAGAGTTAGTACAGTGTTTTCACAAAGCTTTCTACCAGGATAAATGAAACTGAGAATCATAGTTTTCACTGAATAGCAATGCCAACACAGAAGTTTCTGGGAGGTAGCTACTGTATTCCATAGAAATGATGGAGTGACATTTATTTTAGTTTTTAAATTAATTTGTTCACAATAAAATTAAATCAACTGCAGTACTGTCTGCAGTAGCAGCTTTCACCTTGGGGAAAGTGAAAACTATTAACACTTAATATAAATTTAAAAATATAACCTACTTATAAAATATTCAAGTAAACCACAAAACTGGCATAGATTTCTCCCTATCTAACTTATTTACATAAATAAAATGTGTGTAAAAATCTAGTAAATAAAACAGTCATTGTTTGTTGTGTTTATTTATTATAGCCTTAAAAATTCTTTAGCATTCAGCTGCTCTCACCTTCACTCCAGTACTACATAATTTTATACAAGCCTAGTAGGGATGATCCTCCTTATACCTAATTTATTGCTAACTTTTACTTCAGCTTTCATACACTGCATGTATCAGCTAACTGCTGGTGTATACATCTAACTTATGAGCTGGATGTCACTTGCACTCACATAACTACTTGGTCTTAAGCCATATCATGTCCATTGCAGTATTACAAATACTGATGTAACTGCTTTGCTATTAGGAATGTGTAATGGTTGATGTTCTGTGTGTAATTGACCCTTACAATGAACAAGTAGGAGTGTTTATTACAAATAAAGTTCAGCACACTTTAATATTATTATTACTGTATACTTGTATTTAATTAAACTGTGATTTGTGTTATGTTCAGAGTAAACATGCATTTTCAGACAATTTACATTTTCAAAATAATAAAAACAACAAAATAAGAATAGTGAGTTACACTAAATTTTGTTTTGAAATACTCCAACCCCCAATATAATCTACACTTTTGTTGTTCTCCACCAACAAAAAGTTAATAAGCCACCACTGAATGCCTACAAAACTAAATTTAGTATTAATAGAATATATCAGATTTCAGTTTATTTTGATTTAAAATACATAATTTTAAGACCTATAGTTTGAGCATAAACTGTCAGTACATATTGGATATGTGCCAACAGAAGTCACTCAGGTTAATGCTCGTTATTTGAAATTAAGAAACAAAATCATAAGGTTTGTACAACTGAACAGTCTGGCCACCATAATCTAGACAAGTGGCCTCTATCCACATGCAGGAAAATGTATACAGGATGGTCATTGGACCAAATTACAAGGTCAACCTATGAATCATCATCCTTGTACAACTATACAAATACTATGTATGTATATCCTGTAAAGTGAAGGATAACAAGGTAAAGGTAGGCTAATGTCAGGGTCTATGGAACATGAAAACCAAATTAACATTTTCTTTCTTATCAGGGTAATAAAAACTCGCATTCAATTTTAACATGTACATTTGTGCTAATACCTGTAGACAAGGAAAAATTAATTAATGTCCTGCAGATATTGGAAAACAACAAAAAGAAACAAACAGAATGTGAAACTTCATTTTACTTAGATAAAAGAGCAAAGTTAAGAAAACATATTCAATTTTTAAATGAATTTGTCATAACAAGTGTCTGATTACTAGCATTAACAGTTATAACTTACAATAGATATCCTACAAGTGTTTGTGCATATACAGGCAGCTCTAATTACACAAAAAATAGGAAAACAAGTTTTCTAATGTTACTTTTTTTTATACAGTTAAAAAGTATTTTATTTGTGATATAAAATAATGAAGGGAAAACTGACCTGACAGAGATGTTTACACAAATGTTAATAAAATTCCAAACTAAATTTTAATTACTGCCCACAAGACCTAATTTTTTCTTAATACTATCTCCTTGAACCAAAAGTTTTATCTAAAATTATGAAGGAATGCATGTTGTGTTACTGATCTCTCTTTCTTGAAACATCAAAAAGAAATTATGAATTATGGGACTTTTTTTTTTTAGAATTCATCACATTACTAAGTGGCTGGTAAAACCAGCTTTTATGTGAATTACATATTCTTTAACAAAATTAACTGAAATGTAAAAATTAGCCACTTCTTGGCTTAGTCTAATAATACATACAAAATAAAACATTTAAACTTTCACAAGTACAGCATGTGCATAAAACAGGCTTCGACAAATCCCAGACCCCAGGTTGCCAAGGTGACTAAAGACTTCATTGTGGCACCCAGTATTTTCTTCCATTCTATTCGGGTGTAGGGCTATGCTAAATACAATTTTAATCTAGAGCAGTTCTCAACTCTTGGGAATTCAGAACTATTAGATGTCTACCAACTCTGACAATGGCATTTGTTGTAAGCTTCACATATATATATATATATATTGTACTTTTATTAAATATCTAGTACAAAAGAGTCAGCTTGAAGTAACCAATCTGTTTCAAAAATAAATAAAAGTGTCAGAGAAACTGCAACATTGGAGAGAGAGAGAGGGGAGGGGGGGGGACGAAACAAGGTAGGG